CCATCCATCCATCCATCCATCCATCCATCCATCTATCCATCCATCCATCCATCCATCCATCCATTATCTTTACCCGCTTCTTTCTTTTTTGGGTCGCGTGGGTCACTGGTGCCCATGTCCAGCAGTCACTGTGTGAGAGGCAGGGGACACTCTGAACAGGTCTCCAGTCCATAGATACTCCGCTCTCAGCCACCCCCACATAGAGACAAACGAGACAAACAACCATTCTCTCTCTCACTCTCACCTAGGGACAATTTAGAGTTACCAATCAGCCTAACATGGATGTTTTTGGTCTGTGGGAGGAAACCAGAGTACCCAGAGAAAACCCACGCATGGAGAGAACATGCAAACTCCACCCAGAAAGGCCCCCAGACCAGAATTTGAACCAGGGTGACCTGCTCGCTGAGAGGCAGCAGCTCTACCAGTTGCACCACCGTGCTGCCCACTCTCAGCTACCATCAGACCAAATGTAACCACTTAATATTTGTTAAACTGAAGGATTTATAGCCATTTATGTGTTTTTTAAAGTCAGTTGGCCGGGGGGACCATCTTTTCTTGAGTTGACTCCCAAAAGTTAATCAGCTATAGATGTACTTTCTTAGAATGAAAACTATAAGGAAGTTTTAAAAAGTCTGTAAAATATAAACATTTCAATTTTATATAAATGCATACACAGTCTTAGTCGAAGTCTTATCTTTTCCTGAAACCTGTGCATCTTTCATCTGTGTATGTGAGGACAGACAACAAGCCATCAACTGCTGGCTTAATTCAAAGAATATTGCCATTTCCCATCCAATTCCTCTTCCTGCCTTTTTTTCCTAAAAACATAATTACCTCATTATCCTGTTCTGAAAGCACATTCGTGTGAGGGATTGGTTAAATAGACCTTTTATGGTGTGCACTGAATAAATGGATAAATGCTGCAGCAACTCCGTTGATGAAGATAAATGTGCTTTAGTGAAAATCCTCTGTAGAGCCTTTTGTTCCTTCCATAAAGAGAGGTTTCATGCAGGTTAAATTGTCAATACTTCAAACTGCGATTTTACGACTACGTTTCAGAGAAATTACCCTCCAGAGTTCCACAGATGATGCACTTTGTTTAAACGTGCTGTATTTCAAACGAAAGTTACACCTAGCTATTATTTCTGTCTGTGTGATTCGATCTGTTTCCTCTCTTCGTGTTACCCAGTAACCATCCTGTACCGTTGTCTGTTTCAGCTCCTTAAAGGAATCAACAGGACCAGCGTCAGCCGGGCGCTTCGCATCCGAAGGCAAGCAGGCCAGTCAGATCCAAGGGCCTATGTCACAGCGCACTTTAAGACCCTCCCCCTGGAGTTCACCTTAGGAGATGGACGAAACTACGGCGACTTCCGTAACCGTCCCCTCGTGGGTGGACAGGAGTATGTCTTCTTTGTGCTCGCACTGCTTGACCTCTCAGAAAATGTAAGCTCGGCCCCAAACAACAAGTTTATGACTTACATACTAACATGTTTATACAAGAAATAACATAAAACTACGGTTTATTGCAGACAATGTTCTCAACGAGCCCTTACTCTGACCCCGTGACCTCATCGGATGTGGATCCTCAGCCGATCATTGATGAGGAGGAGGGGCTGCTGTGGGTGGTGGGTCCTGTGCTGGCTGTGATCTTCATCGTCTGCATCGTCATCGCCATTCTCCTTTTTAAAAGGTAAAAACAGGATGGTATAGGTAAAAAATAAAAAGACAATAACTCAACACTGAACAGCATTGTCTAGAGACAGAGAGTGGAGTTCTAAAAAGATACTCAGTTTGTGGAGAAAGGCTTTAAATGTTTAACAAAATCCTTCACAAAACAAAATCTGATTGTTACTCTGAAAGTTTCGACTTAGTATTTAGGAAGCGTGCTTTAAACTGTTTGAAACAAGCTAAACATGCCATCAGTTCATGCTCAGTAATCCAGGTTTCAAATCCAGCAATGTTCAGTCAGATTATCTGGACTTTTTTTTGTTTTTTGCCTTTTTGCTTTTTGTTTTCGGATGAAGGACGAAACGTCTCAGCAAAAAAAAGAAAAATGAAAGAAACCATCCAGATGATCTGACTGAACATTGCTGGATTTGTAACCTGGATTATTGAGCATGAACTTTGGTGTTTTGAACCCTTTTGGCATGGTTGCCTCAGAGGAGTGACGGAGGAGAGGGCGGGCCCCAGAGGCCATCTTATCACCAGCAAACTGTTTTATTTTATTTTATTTTTTCCCACTATGGGAGTGTGGTATTTGTGGGACTCCAGTTTGTTTGTGGCTTCTTGGAATGAAGAAGTCATTTGGATGAAGGACGAAACGTCTCATCAAAAAAAAAGAAACCGTCCAGATGACCTGACTGAACATTGTTGAAACTAAACATAGTTTAGCTTCTGTGTCTAAACTCATGTTGAGTCACAAAATACCAGATTATCCATGGTTTTCCGATTTAGAGTTTCTTTAGTGCAGCTTTTGGACTAAAGCTTCTGCTTACTTTGGGCTTTTTAAACCATTTATTTCCTCGTGCACGTTGATTTTGTAACTTTATATTATAAAATAAAACTCCCCCTAGAAATACACTGAGATGGCTTCAATTTATTCACAAAATGCTGTTGTCTTTGAAATCTGCTTCTAATATACTTGCTCTGTTTGAGCCCTTTTACACTAATTTTAGCATTTAGCTACTAGTTTACTAACAAGAAATTAGCTACAGTTTTGCTCATTTCAGCTAGTTGCTATTGTTTTGCTAATTTAATCTTTTAGTTCCAGTTTTGCTCATTTTAACTTATGTTGTGCTGAGTTTAAATTTACAAGTTCAGTTTTGTCCATTTTATTCCAGCAGTCCTTCAGAATTCAGCTTTTTCTCAGCTCGTGCAAATTCTTCTTGTTTTTCTTCATAATCTGCATTTTTGGCCAGACAAAGTGAACACCATAAAAGATAAAGAAAGCATTACTGGCTATTAGTATTATTCATGATAATCATCTGGTTCTCTGGCTACAGGTTTAATAATTTACATGAATAACAGCTGTGACAGATGTGGTGCAGCAGAATTATTAACCTTGATGGTAATAATCCGAAAGTTTTACATGTAACTTGGAGCCATGTTTCCAGTACAGTAGATTATAGGTTATGGAGTGTTTGACAGAGCAAAATGTATATATTTTTTTATTTGCATTTAAGTCTACTGTTCACTTTTGTGTCCACGTGAGGTTTTATTATGCATATCTAACGTGGCACCGAGAAACTGATTAGTTTGAGCATGAGGAAGAAAACGATGAGTTCAGCACTGCTGTTGTCTGATGCCCTTCGATCGGACACTAATCTTATTCTTCCTTGTCTGTTCTTTTATCTGCTCGTCGCGCCCCTCGGATCCAGCAAACCTGACAGGTAACAGTTCCTGATTACCATTTCTTCTGGCCTGCAGGGACTTTTCTTTCTTGAAAAGCCTCTTTGGGGATTGCTTTATAAAATTGACTGATTTAGAGCCAGAATAAGGCTAATGCTGCTGGATGACCATGTTTAAAAGTTAGGTCCACTGAATGAATTGTTCAGTTCCACAGACTTAGTTTCATTTAATGCACTGGCGTACGCTAGAAGCCACTGTATTATTCTTCAAAATTCTGAATAATGGCATCTGCTCCATCTGCTCTGGATGGGCTTGTTCACCATTCAGTCTTAAAATCCAGAAAATATACCATTTTATTTTAGCATTTTTCTGGTGTGAATACATTAATTATGAAAGAAAGAAAGTGTGTAGGACTAATCTAGATATCTAAATAATTAGGGTGTACATGTACATTCAGTGAGAGTTTGGGCAGATACAGGTGATCACCCTTCCCATAGCAGGCTCAGGTTTTATTCTACTGCAGCTGGCCAACAGCCCTTAAAGGATTAAACACAATTAAAGCAGATTTGTGGCATTTAAAACCTCTAAACCAAACAAAGCTTGGTCAGGTCAAAATAACACGCAGAAGCAAAAACCAACCTCATTAATTCAAATCAGCTGAGTGAAAATAAAACTTGGCAGTGGCACTGTTCACAGACCGCTGCAGCAAGAGGAGACGAGATGTACCAGTATGGCAAGAAAATGTATCATAAAAGTGATGCTTACACTCAGCAATAATAAACAAAAAAATGTATGTTGACTACAATATCAATACAAGGTTTTCTCTGCGTTTTACTCGTTCAAACACTGTAGCAACATGAATCCTCATAGATTTTTAATATTACTGTCTCCTTAGTTAATTTTTTACAAGTATATATGAATACAAATAAACTTCTGATTACAAACAAAAAGCCTCATTGGGCATTAATCAGTCAGTGCTTATCTCTGAACCTTTAGCGCATTCATTAAATCATTAAATGACAAAACTTGCGGACCAAGACTTGGTATGGTTTGTATGAGACCAACAGGATGTTAAAGGAGAGCTGATGGTTTTGAGATTTATTTGAGTTCCCTTGCTCTGCATACATTGGTTGCTTTCTTACAGCCAAAGCCAATACAAACATGACAGGTCTGCACTACGGGGAAGATAAAAAACAAACCAGAAAGCTCAGGGACAATGGATGAGATTTATATCTGAAAAAGTTAAACACCAGTGTATACGAGCCCAAACCTTCACCACTCTAGATTTCTTGCAGAATGATTTTAAGTACATCAAACTGAGGTAAATTGTGTCTGTTATTCTAGGAAACGGGCCGAAGCTGAGGGAAGGAAGAGCAGTTTTCCCTGCAACAAAGCCATGTCCTCCCACCATCCCACAGATCCTGTGGAGCTGCGGCGGATCAACTTCCAGACTCCAGGTAGATTTGAAACAAAAACCATACAGCCAACGCACCATGTGGAGTCAGAATCAGCCGTTCTGATGAGGTTCACTGTGTTGTTTCCCCTTACAGCCTACCGTGTTTCAGTGTACCGCGGTTACCGCCGTTTGTCAAGTTAGTTGGTCTTAGTCAACCACAGATTTCCTTCTTTCTATCCTTCCATTTTCATTCTGACTAACCCTCCACTCCATATAGGATGAAGCTGCATCAGTTGACAACATTTCACCAAGCACCACGTTAAAATCGCAAGACAAAAATCATACTTAATTTATAACTGCCTGTGCCGTTGTCTTTTTTTATCCTCACCAGCCGTGTTCATATACTCAGAGGACATCTTTTTTGTGTCTCGGCAGCTTTTTGAACTCACACATTGTTCTCTCCAGTCTGTCTGAAGAGAAAATGACCACTTAACAAAAGAAAATAATGAAAAATAATAAAGATCCCACTTCCATTTGCCTCCTGTGCTGACCATGGGCTGAACACTAAACAAAAACTCCTTAGAGAATTCCAGCTTTTAACATTTTCCTCCAAAAAAAAAGAGTTCAGCAGGACAGTATTGGTATCAGAACAGCCTTTTTTTTCTGTGCTCTGCAGGCATGGCGAGTCACCCGCCCATCCCCATCTCTGAGCTGGCAGATCACACTGAGCGCCTCAAGGCAAACGACAATCTCAAGTTCTCTCAAGAGTATGAGGTAGGAATGCCGATTATCTGCCACTAAATATCTCCAACTTGGGGAAATTCATCCGATTTTGTTGCAAGGGGCTCGCGTTTATCAGCGACGTGTCATTTTTCATTTTCTATAGCCTCTGCGTTGACATTGCATTTTGATTTGTCGGCTTCCCGTGAGATGAACCGCACTTTCATGGCGTTTACTGTCTCGCTGTTATCTACGCAAATATGAGAGGAAAATTTAAACTGCAAGCTCAAAGACAGTGTGCCTAAAGCCAGATGAATATCGAGCTCTCGTTTCTACGCTCTGGTGGACGCAGAAAATAGAAATCAAGAAGCACCCACAGAGAGTAACCCGAGTGATGCAGCGAGCAAGTGTTCTCTGCACACACAAGAAAATCTTGATTAGTTTCTTTCCACTTGCAGCACAGTTAATATGAATCAACAATGGCATCAACTGTGCATCTGAACTCAGTGTGCACTTAACAACAGAAGCGCGCAGATCAGCAGAAACGTTTCAAAACCATGCTGGCTGTTTTAGTAACCAGAGCTGGTATTACAATGAGCTCCACAGAGAGCTGTTAAAGGAGTAAAAATGTTGTTTTTATTTTTCATTTTTTGCTTACAAAAAAAAATGTGTGTCGACCGAAGGGCCTCTGGGTGAGGATGGAGACATGAGGCTCTAATTGGCTACTGCAAGAAGAAGAAGACAGATTGTGTGTGCCAGATGTATAGAAAATACAGGGACAGATTAACCAAAAAAGTGGAAAAACAGAACGAGGGTGTTGTACAGGAGAGAAGTGTTGGGAGAAAGGACGAGACGGTGAAAGAGAGAAGCTGTGTGTGATTGTGGTTATCGTTGGAACCACTTCGTTGGGCCTCACATTCTCTCTGCATGACTGTGTGCTTTGTTGGGTGCTGAACCCTCAATGAAGGAACGAGAGAGCAACGGATGGAAGAGGGGAGAAGGGAGGCCAGGAATGATTGTGGTGTGATAATCAGACACACTTGATACTGGCAGCGGGGAGAAAGCCATCTTAAACTCACCCATACACATACATGCACTTATTCAGCACTACTCCTGTCCATTTTTCCCCACAAAGCCATAATTATGTGTCGTAAAATATTCAAAATTGCTAAATTGCTCCGGCTTTCCCCTCTTTGTGCCTCTCCATTGACAGCCCTGTAATGACCTCATGTCTGCCTCTCCCGACTAACAGCGATGGTTACACTGTAATTACCCTCCAGGAGCTTAATGGTCTGACACAACCATCCTCCTTCTACCAGTGGAAATTTATTGTGCTTTTATCATCTTTCTTTGGCAGATAGTCTCTCTGTTGGAAGTGAAAAGCCTTTCTTGAAATGGGATATCATAAGTACCCATGTTCCTGTCTGGTATCAGTAATGCATTGGTAATCTTTAATTTGTTGCTGGTTTTTAATGGCAGGTTGGAACTTCAGTAATGCTGGGCTATATCTGTAAGGTGTAATTTCTGAACATTGTACCAGTTCCTGCAATTTTCTGTTAAACTTTTGAGATAACCAATGACTCCAAAAAGAGGTCTTGCAGAATTTTGTCAGGCAATAGTTTGTGTTGTGGTAAAATATCACCATCGTTCATACTGGGGTACCTCAAGTAGGTATACTCAGTCCTCTGCTTTTCACGTTGATGACACACAACTTGTCTACCAAATTTAGCAGAAATAAGCTCAAGTAATTTGTAGATGACACAACAGTAGTTGGACTCTTACAGAGCTGAGATGGAGCTGTGAATTGGCAATGAGACAACATTTGTCTTTTAATGTTTAAAAATATTAAAGTACCTATTGTGCATCTTAGAAAAAAATGATTATTCTCCTGCACATCAATGGCTCCCTTAAGAGAGGGTAAACATCACAAAGCTTTTAGGATTTTTCACTGAGGATATTTCCTGAACAATCAATACGACATCTGGTCAAGAAAGCTCAGAAAAGATGTACAATTGTAAGAGACAAAAGAATCCAAAAATCATTCTCCTTACCACCTTTGACAGGTGCACTAATGAGAGCATCCTGAGCAGGTGTATCACTTCTTGGTATGGTCATTACAATAAGAATGACAGAGAGACCCTGCAATGTCTGATTAAAAATGGCTGGGAGTCAATGAAGTCCCCCTTCCCAATCTCTAGACTTCAATTTTAAGGAGAGATGCATTAAAAAATTCCTCAGTAATAAAAGACTCCTGTCATGTTGGATGAATGAATGAATGCTACCCACAAGATTAACCTCTTGCTATCTAGAGGACAAAACTATTTCATTGTATCAATAACAACCAGAATGTGAAGCAGCAATATTATTCTAGCTGCTGAATCTCTAGCAATGCTCGGCTCGACCACACCACTGACAAGAGAAGTGGTATTTTATTTCACCTTGTACTTAAATATACATGAAAGAACCAAGGGCAGCATGGCAGAGAGGTGGTTAGTTATTGCTTCACAGTGAGAAGCTAGCATGTTCCCCTCCAGGCCTTTCTGTGTGGAGTTTATAGGTACTCTGGTTTCCTCCCACAGACCAGCAACATGCATGTTAGGCTAATTGGTAACTTAATTGTTTCTAGGTGTGAGTGAGGGAATGACTGTTGTTGGTCTTATTTGTCGCAATGTGTCCCTGTGATGGACTTGTGACCTGTCCAGGTTTACTGTGCCTCTTGCACGGTGACTGCTGGAGACAGGCACCAGCTCCCTGCAACCCAGAAAGGAAAAGTGTATGAAGAAAATGGATGTGTTTTATGTCATTTTTGCTCTTCCGTACCTAATATTTTACTTGTTAGCATACCTAACAAGTAAAACATATTTTCTTAAGATTCCTGACATGCTCACTATCACTGCATCTAAAATGTGCCATAACTGCCTGTAAAGTACAATGATAGGTTGAAACAATTGTAACTTAACCACATACATACACCTTGGTGCCTTCTTGGGAAGAAATGCAGCCTCAGTAAGTTTTTTTTTTTAATTTTTATTAAAACAGTATATTTACATGGTAAACAACGTGTAATTAAGAAATAATTTTCAATTGTTTGTTTCAAGTTGTATTTTGCAGAAGCTGTTTAGGAATTCTAGCCATTTTATAGAGATAAATATGAGAACCCAGTCAACATTTGTATAGAACAATACTGTTAACTTATTAATTCAAATCCACTGATACTGATGATTTGAATTGGCATATTTGGCTATCAAGTCAATCTGTGACCCTGAGACCCGGTGTACACAATTTCATTCCACCACATGTACCACATGTGGTGTGTGTGACAAACAAAGAACCTTGAACCTTGAACCTTGAACCTGTGCTGGCATTTTCATTTGAAACACACAAATTTTAATACCAAAATATTTTCTAACTTCATTTGCTTTGTCCCTTTTGTCTCCGGTAGTCCATTGATCCAGCTCAGCAGTTCACATGGGAAAACTCTAATTTGGAGGTCAACAAGCCAAAGAATCGCTATGCTAACGTCATCGCTTATGATCACTCGAGGGTCATACTCTCAGGCGTTGATGGTAAGACCCACTTCCACTGTTTTGGTATAAAATATTTCATTCAAATTGTTTTCTTTCAAAAGGTTCTTAAAGTTTTATGACTTGGATATGGTTAGAAGAACAAATCTGATTAGATATGTTGTTATGGGAGTTAGGGAATGAGGTGGAGAGCTGGAGAAACACCATCGTAGAAAAATGTATCAAGGATTTCTTTCTCGGGATGGGGGATTGTTCTGGGTCCAGTTTAGTAAGAAGAAATATAATACAGATGAAAATAAAGACTGTAAATGCAGACACAAATTACAACCTTTTAATTATGAACCTGATTATGACAATTGCAGCTATACCCAGATACACAGTCTGGACAAAAAAAAAAATCGCCACCAAAAAAAAAGGTCACACACTAATATTTCATTGGAGCGCCTTTAGCTTTAATTACAGCAGCATTCTCTGTGACCTTGTTTTGATAAGCTTCTGCAATGTCACAAGATCTATTTCCATCCAGTGTTGCATTAATTTTTCACCAAGATCTTGCATTGATGAATAGGCACTAGGCATGATGGGTGCATCACTTCACCTGCCTCTCTTCTTACCCTGATGTGCCCATCACTCTGGAACAGGGTCAATCTGGACTCATCAGACCACATGACCTTCTTCCATTGCTCCAGAGTCCAATCTTTATGCTCCCTAGCAATTTGAAGCCTTTTTTTCTGGTTAGCCTCACTGATTAGTGGTTTTCTTAAGGCTACACAGCTGTTCAGTCCCAATCCCTTGAGTTCCCTTCACATTGTGTGTGTGGAAATGCTCTTACTTTCACTATTAAACATAGCCCTGAGTGCTGCTGTTGTTTTTCTTCCATTTGATTTCACCAAACGTTTAAGTGATCGCCGATCACGATCATTCAGGATTGTTTTCCGGCCACATTTCTTCCTCGAAGACAATGAGTCCCCACTATCCTTCCGGTTTTTAATAACGCGTTGGACAGTTCTTAACCCAGTTGTAGTAGTTTCTGCAATGTCCTTAGACGTTTTCTCTGCTTGATGCCAATGATTTGACCCTTCTGAAACAGACTGATCTTTTCCACGACCACGCATGTGTCTTTCAACATGGTTGTTTAAGAAATGAGAAGCAGCTCATTGCACCAGTTGGGGTTAAATAACTTGTTGCCAGCTTAAAGATAATCGCCCATGCACTAATTATCCAATAGGAGGCTCATAACCATTTACTTAGTCAAATCCAGGTGGCAACTTTATTTTTTATTTTTTTGGCTTGGCATTGTATAAGGACCAATGAGAACAGAGACCAAGACTCAGAATCAGTTTACAGTGTTTATTTACCAGGTGAGATATAAGCAATAAGCCAGGGGAGGGCTGGAACTCTGAGGGGCAGAGAAAAGGTCTGAGTCAAGGATGTCGAGGGTGATAATGATGTTGCAGTTCTCTCTTACGTTGGTGGTTGAGGTCAGGCGTGAGGAGAGTAGACCCAAATGGTTCCTGGTGGAAGAGGTGCAGGTGAAAGACAAGTGGCAGGAAGCTGTGGAGGCAGCTGATGAGGCACAGAGGAGCTTGAGATCTGCAGAGGAGATTTCAGGAACACAGGACATCAAAGGTAACTCGCTGGAGGCACAGAAAAACACACAAATCATTAATATTTCGCTTGGACCACAAATAGAAGGCTAGAACAAGACTACTGTTGGCAAGTAATGCTCCAGCACTGGATGAGTGTCTTCTGGGGTCTCTTATACTCCTCATGCTCATCAAGTCACAGGATCACAGGTGTAACTAATTAGAGTCTGACTGTGGGAGCAGGAGCTGGCAGAGCAGAACTCCCACACTAATAAACCTAAAAAAAGTGTGAGCAGGAGAGGACTTATTAGAAATTAGTAGTTTGAGGAAAATTAAGTAATATGATAAATTTCCAACATTGCCTAAAAATAGGTAATGTTGCATTTTTTGTAAAGATTGCCTTTTGATAACAAAGTATTTTTTTGTTTACTACAAAAATTTTTTTTTTTTTATGGGTAACTTTTAAGTGCTTTAAATGGTCAAACACATAAACATGCTTTTAGATGCAAGAAACAGAAGATAAGTAACAGGAAACATGAGCGAGCGGTACCGTTTGTCAATCATAAAAAATAAAGGAGTTACAGAAAAAGCGTAGAGTTGGATTTCTCACCGTTGTGTCACCAGCATTTTCTCACCTCACACGCTGATGTTTTGACACAACGTCTGCACCAGCAGCTTCCGCTGCTTAAAGTGCTGCTGAAGCAGCTGTGTACACTGAGAAAACTGCTATCAGCTATCAATCTTACATGGCTCTGGCTTCAACATCCCATCTGGAACGCCATTATATATCTGCCTACATTATCCTTGTGCATAAATATATACGTATATGTGTGTGTGTATATATATATATATATATATATATATATATATATATATATATATATATTTCATTTCAGTTTATTTATATAGCGCCAAATCAAAACAAAGGTGTCTCAGGGCATTTTACAGAAACATTCAGATACATAGAAAAGCCACTTAGTAAAGTTGTCTATCTAAGGAAGCAGCAGACAGATATACATATTAGAGGTGCAAATCTCTCACTGTCTTGTGATTCAATTCAGATCCGCTTTTTGGTATCATGACTCATTTCAGAAATGATTTTCGATTCAGAAACAATTTTTGTATTGAAAAGGTCATAAATTGTGTTTAAATTATGTAACTGACAAGATGAAAAGATAAAACGACAATGTAAACAAATAGAACATTTATTTAAAACAATAATTTTAGGTCCTTTACTGTATCAAATCTTGTTGCATCGTTTTATATTTATACCAGAAATAGGAACAAATATAAGGGTGCATAAAATTCTCTAACTTAAATTACCAGTAATAGGTTAGCTTAGCTGCCTGGCTTTTTCTCAAATAAAAATCTAGGAACAAATAATTCATCCATCCATCATCCATTATCTTTACCCACTTCTTCCTTTTTGGGTCGCGGGTGTCACTGGTGCCCATATCAGCCATCACTGAGCGAGAGGCGGGGGTCACCCTTGACAGGTCTCCAGTCCATCACAGGGAAATAATTCAAAATATATAAATACAAAAGTAAACAACGACTTCAGTCTACTATACTACATTAACCTTTAACTCAAAATATAATACAGACTTCACAGTTTTTTAACCATATTGCACTAACATTTGCTATATTTTCAAAACTTAACCTAATATGCAATATACAGACTTTACAGTCGTTACATTCATATTTGATAAATCTTTAACAAAATTTCAGAACCTGTGCAAGTCTGCACAAAAACACTACTGAACTGTATGTAATTTATAAACTATAAATTGTATCATTTAGAACTGGCTCCAGACGATCTCATGTGGCCTCTCTAACCTGTTAAAAAGACAAATTAAATTGCTTTTGTATAGTACAGTCTGGCTAGCTCAGTCAGTAGAGCATGAGACTCTTGATCTCATGGGTTCAAGCCCCACGTTGGGCATAAAACTTTGGAGGACGACTTGCTGTGGAGGAAGATGACTTGCTTCAAAGAGGGTGACACTGTGGCATCCCCCAAAGAGAGAAATGCAAGAAGAAGACAAAGGTTTTTTTTTTATAACTTATCTATATACGTTTTTGTATAATATGAGAAAAAACAGTTACCCTTTGAGCTGCAGCTGGTGCATTAATCAGAGCTTCTCGCACTTTATTCTGTGTTTCATGGTGGAGTTGTGGCGCTGCTTTATCACTATAAAAGCTACGTGACAGAATAACTTACATTGTATCCAGCAAATTAAAAATAAACCTAATCCTTCGCCTTCCACTGAGCTGTCTTCTGTCTTCTTCTTTCCAATACTTTTGGCAATGTAGTGTGTGTATATGGTTCAACTCCTATGAACGATAAAATTGAAATGTTGGTGGGAAAGGTGAAGCGCTCACACCTGCATCCACCCTCATTCGTCCCACTCTGGGCCCTTGAGCAAGGCCCTTAACCCCCACCAGCTGCCCCTCCGGGTGCCCTAGATAGCAGCTCTCTGCTTCACACAGAGGGCTGTGGTAGCTCGGTGGTCTGTGGTTGTGTCAGAAAGGGCATCCAGCTTAAAAAATTATTGCAAGTCTTCATGTGGGTTTGTTCGCTGTGGCGACCCCTGAAGACGGGAGTAGCCAGAAGAAGAAAAAAGATAATATATGCATATATATATATATTACTCTTTGTTATTAATAAGGTAATGATTTCTGGTCGTCTTACCTGTGCAAAATGCACCAAGATCAAAAACTTTGCTTTGTAAGGGTGGCGATTTTACACATCTTGCACTTACCAGCTGGATCATGAAAATCACAAAACAGAACATATATTTATTTGTTTATTATTTAAACCTTCATTTTACCAGGAAAATAATCCATTGAGATTATTAATCTCTTTTACATGGATGTCCTGGGCAAAGTGCAAGGTGCAAACAAGCCATTACAAATACAGCAACAGCCTTTATATATATATATATATATATATATATATATATACGTACACACACACATAATGTGTGCTTGTATATGTTCTTGCATGTGTCTGTCTGCACACATATTCATGTCATCATTTTATGTGCATCTACACCTGGAGGCAACCCCCTTCAAGATGGCCGCCACAGCTAAATGACACGAGAAAATACATTTGCTCCAATGCCAATCAGTTTTACAATAAACTCGAATCTGGAGTGTCTGGAGTGTTAGAAGCTGAGAGTCATTCTCAACCCATAGTTGGATTGTGACATCTTGTAACGTTGCATGACTGCACAACATTGTAGTCGAGGTTTGATTAAAATGGCTTCAACGCTGTCATTTCTTAACACAAGACGATATTAATAAAAACCTCTGAGATGAAAGGTGGTGAGCAAAATGCATTCTCTCAATAAAATCTCAGCCTTCAACTTTAGGTTTTGACATCTGGTTGTTTTGACTGCTCTTTGGTGAGTCAATTCTGCTGCGTTTGGTCCTTTTGAACTTTCTAAAACAAGAAAAAGAAAACGGTCTCGGCTCTGTTCTCATTGTGCATTTCGAAGCGCGTTCACCCACCTCAGCTGGCAGAGACCTGAGGCAAAGAAACCGTCTGCTCCGATGTGCAGAGAGGGAGGCAGTAGGAGGCCAAGCCCGAACAGATGAGCCTTATCTGGGCCGAGCATGTGTGAGAAGCCCTTCCACCCCCGCCTGTCCTGCAGCTCTTTCTGTCCGTCTGTCTTTCAGCTCAGGAAGCGCACACATCCAAACACACAACTCCACACATTTCAGCACATGTGCATACATACCCTGTGCTGGAAATTCAAACAGAACAAGTACAAATGCAGATACGCACTTTCTGCTCCCAGTTTCCTTCACACGTCCATGAAGACACACAAGCTGCCAAGCCAGTGCAGCCACCACCAAAACTGGAATCCTGTGTGTGTGTGTGTGTGTGTGTGTGTGTGTGTGTGTGTGTTTTATCTGTGTGGCACTTCTGTTGCAGCCCTTTGCAATAAAGTTGAAGCACATCAAAGCTTTGAGGCAAGCTGCCTTTTAAAGACAGCGGTTGATAAACACATGTTTGAAGCGTGTTACTGTCTGTGCTCATCACTTTGGAGCTAAGTTGTGTAAAAATAAAACCTCAAACTACTCCTTGGTTTAAAATGGATGGTGTGTGTGTGTGTGTGTGTGTGTGTGTGTGTGTGTTGGACTGGGGTTTTGCAGCTGCAGGGGTCTGAGGCAGAGAATCAGCTGCCATACTTTCTTTCTGTGGGGATCCTTCTGTTTGCCCATTGACTTCTGTCCTTCTGAATGCAAGCTCATATCAGAAGCCTCAAAAGGAGTTCTGCGTCCAACCTCGGCAGAATGAGGTCGTCTTTGCACGTCTTTGCGTGCACTTTTTTTTTCTGGTGTCTGTGTGTGCATGTTTGAGCTGTGACTCAGTGATTTTTGGGATTATGGTATTAGGCCCTAGATGAGCAGGCCTGATCCTAAATCAAACTCACACAGACGGTCTCCCACATCACACTCTCACACACAATCCCCTCCAGGACAGGCGGTGTCTTACCCAGAGACCGCCTCACAGTTGTGTTGCCATTGTGAGCGGCACATCCAGAGTAGACTCAGATTAGGCCCATGATCGTCTTAGCGTGTATTATACAAGACGGCTGAGCAATCCACCGCCAGAGGACACTGTGAAAACATTAATCTTCGTACCGTGACCTCAGATAATTCTCAGCCTTTATTACTTTGACATAAACCTTCAGTCAAAGCAGTAGAATTTGAATAATCCATTTCCATTTTTTTTTTACTATACAACAGAATATAAAATGATGTTCGCAGGGATGAAAATTGTTTTCATTCACTGCAGCATTTTAAAACCAGCTGGATTACTTTATCCAACTCGTTACCTGCTTTCCTTGTTTCAGTTCATTCATTCTGTTCACGTGTTCTACTTTTTCCCCTTCCTTTGCAGGCGTCCCTGGCAGTGACTACATTAACGCCAACTATATTGATGGCTACCGCCGTCAGAATGCCTACATAGCCACTCAGGGCCCCCTCCCTGAGACCTTTGGGGATTTCTGGAGGATGGTCTGGGAGCAGCACACAGCCAACATCGTCATGATGACTAAACTGGAGGAGAAGTCGCGGGTAAGATGGTGTGAAGGATTATCACCAGAGTATAAGTACAGAGGAAGAGGTAGAAAGAAATTAATTACCCATACCTGTGATGGAAAGGAGGAGGAAAAGAACAAGAAGAACATAGAAGAAGGAAAAAATAAACATAATTTAAGGGATAAATGAAATGTTTAGCATATGGTTTAACACAAATATGCATGCTGTAAAAAGAGAATGAGATCATTTATAAACTGTAGGGTGCGTTCGCTGACCAACCAAAAAGTTTACTAATCTGCTTCTAGAGATTTTTAATCTCATCTGTTGAAGACAATTTTTGAAGCAGCTTCAGTTTGGAGAAAACATTTAATCTACCACAGCTAGCTAGCACTTCTGATCCAGACTGGGACACTTCCTGCTGGATCTTCATCATATTTTTGCTAGAAACAAACAAAACAAACAAAAAAAAACATTTAATATGATATTTGCTGTACTGTCAAGGTTTAAAGTTAAAGTTTAAAGTTGCATTTCTTGAAGGGATGCATACAGGGCTTAATTTGAAAACTGATCGATGTCGGAATGCAAATAGTGGGCGGGTGTGGGGGGGGGGGGCGGTGCAGGGGGGAGTGAGGGGGAGTTGTGGGTGGGAGGGGTTAGAAAGCAACAACAACAGCTCTCTTCTTGTGTGAATAGAGCAGCTCCGCTTCTGTCAAACAGCTCAGCACCCCCACCGCCCCCCCACTCACTCGCTCCTGCTGCCACTGCCTTCAGGTGCTTCAACTCTCATTTGTCCAACTAAGGACAATGAGAAGCCTTTTTTTATTGACGTGAATTGGACTGTCTTTTCGACATTTTGTTCACTGTTGTTTTGACAAATTAGCACCGTTGTTTTGATATGTGATGTGAATAATACACATCAAAGATTTCTCTCGTTGTTTTTTAAATAAATAATCAAAATGTTATTAATAACCCACTTAAACTGTCAAACTGAGTTGCAGTTTAGTTGTGCTGTTTATATTTTTGAGTTTTTTAATAAAAATGTGCGATGACTTTGGACTTTTAGGGGCGGAGATATTTTTAAGGGTGGAGTCAGAAATGCTTATTTGAAGGGGCAGCTCGTACGTGATATTAGGAAGCTTGTAAGTGGCTGTTGTGTTTAAAATTTGTATTTATGTAATTGATTTTAGATTGCATATCCAGTATAGGTTTTATTTGTTCAAGGCAGTCAAATTTGTTCTTAACTTTATTATTTGTAAGCCCAAGAGTTACTGGATCCAAGCAAACAGTTACCGGAACGCACCCTGTCAAAATAAGAGCATTCCCGTATCCTGTTCCGGCAGGATCCGGCTCAAATTAAGCCCTGGATGCATATCATCCCCTGCCACCTTGCATGACAAAGTTTTAAACAAAGATTTTGCACAATCCTGTTAGCACTGAAGTAGTTGATGGAGGCGACCCTCAACTGCTTCCAGACCAAATGTGAACTCAGTTTCAGTAAAGCTGACCGAGTTGAAGCCATTTTTGTGTTCACAGCGGTTAATTAACTGTGGCGGTCATTTTGAATCAGATTGACTCCAAAACCTAATTAGTTGTAATTGATGATGATGGTGATTACTACAAACACACACACACATAGTCGCAATTACAGTACTGCCCCAATTTACTGATGGCGGGAGATAATTGAATGGTATTTCTCCAAACTGAGGTTATTAAAAGAGCTATCTACAACAGGTAAGATATTGCCTGTTCATATGTCTCCACAGAACCCCCACTGAACTATACCTTTAAGAAGAATTAAAACCTTCACATATGAATAAACTACAGGCCGAACGAGGCTGAATGCAGCACAACAGAGCAGAGTAGAATACGTGCACTGGTGAGCAAGGCCAAGGGGATTACAGGCACAGCTAAACTGGGGCCGGTAATGAATTAGAAAGTCATTTGGTTTCCAGGCGTTTTGCTGTTAACTGAATGTGCGCTTGAGTGAAAATCCAGTGTAATGAGGATGTGATGTAAGAATGAAATGAACAGGAATGACCTGAGGTGTGAGTCATTATTAAGTGCTAACCAATTATGTCCAAAATCCTTTTCAGAAAATGATCCTTTCCTCCCATCTCTGCTTCTTTTCTCCTGTTAACGTGTGTCTTGTGTTCGAACTCTCCTGCTTCCTTTTTCCAACCGTCTCTGTTGTGTCTCTCTGACCCTCAGATGCCCTCTTATTTCTTCTCTAAGGCAAGACCTCTCTTTCACTCCTTTTTCTAATCCCTTTTTAAATGCAACCTAACCTCACATGATTTCCCGTTTACCTTTTTACCCCTCTGTTCAGTACACCCCCACCCCCCCACACCCCTCAGTCAGTGTACTGAGCAGACCTGTTTTTGGTTTACCAAAGGGCACCATCTTGGTCTGGGTTTTATTAGAACCACTGCAGTTCAGAAAGAGTGCACTTCAGGTTGCATGATCACATCACAATTATTGTGGCTATTAAAGAAATGGCTTTTGAAACATTTTGTTCAGTTTATCATAAGTTGTGTGCGTTTCATCTGGTTAGCCTGTCTTGGTTTATGCAGCGACAGCTTTTACTTTGAGCGTTTTCCTTTCTCTGCTGCAACTCTCCAGCTGCCATTTGAGCGAGTGGTGCTCTGCTCATTTGAGAAATTAATCTGATCTCGTTTAGCACCTCTCAACATTACGCCATTATGTGTTTACCCATTAACAGCACAGGCGATCACAGATGGTCCCACTGTGGGAATCTTGCCAGGATCCTTCCTTTTAGAGCAAATCAAACCTCAGCCGCGCTGTGGGCCCATAAATTAGTGGTTAATATAGTATTCACGATAAGCTCTGTAGTAGCTGGCGCTGAGCAGCCCCCCCACGTGGACAGCCATTTCTGTCCCTGCAGTGTCTCGAGGTCTGGTGGGAAAACAACCGTTGGAAAGCTGTAATTACAGCCTGAATGTTTCGGGCCAAAAAGCCTAATCCTCATTCTGGAGCGGTGGAATGCAGAGCGTGCTGAGCTGAGCTCCCTGCTGTCTTTGATGTGAGGACTGGAGGGATCAGCACAGAACGTCGGGTTTGGCCCGGTTCTGCCAGGGCCCTCGCTGCTTTTCTCTCATCGTCAGGGATTGTTTCTCCTCCTTTACCTCCTGGTCTCTGAATCTGAGCCGGGGAACTACAAATATGGTTGCCCCATAGCAGGGATGTCCAGGTGCTTCGCTGGCTGAGGGATGCTGGGATTTGGTGTTCTAGAAGAGCTTTGCTGGTATTTGCAAGGTTGGAATGTGGGGCAGCGTGCACTGGCTCTGGGAAACACAGTAACAGATAGATTGAGACCTCGTCATTAAACTGGTAAAATAAATGTCCTTTTTTCTTCACTTTTCACTTCACTCACTAAAATGTTGTTTTTTTTTTCCAAACACTGGACTAATTAAGCATTTTAGTTTTTTGAACATTATTGTTTAATTTTTGCTCAGTCACTGATCTGCCTCCTCACTCCTTTCTTTTTTTGTGCACCTTCATATGAGCCTCCTCTGCTTTTTTCTGTTTCTTTCACAGAAATGTGCACACACATGTCCACAGCGCTCCACATCTGTTACATCCTTTGCTCTTTTCCCTTGTAGGTTAAGTGTGATCAGTACTGGCCCACGCGTGGCACTGAGACCCACGGACTGATCCAGGTCACTCTGCTGGACACGGTGGAGCTGGCCACGTACTCCATGAGGACCTTCGCTCTTTACAAGGTAGCGTTTGTGACGCTGTTAAATTGGGTAGAGCTTGTGAGAACCAAAGCGCTCATTTCAAATCATACACAACCCATTAATAAATCAGCAGTTCATTTTTATTGTAATTAAAGAGTCTTAACAGTTTAAAGAGACTAATTAGGAATTTAAAAAAATCCAGTTTGAGTGAATGAATTCACCATCTGCAGCTTCTAAACTTTATGTTAATGTCGTGTGCCTCTTCCTGCTGCCTCATGTTTTACTTTTGAAGCCTGCTGACGCAACATCCCGTCACAAGTAATTTATCACCGGGTGTACCTAAGGCTGTCTACTTGTGAATGGACCCCTGAAGATGAATTATGATGCTGAGAATAAAGATGCTTTGAGACATTTTGCAAAATTCTCAATTTTGGCTTTAAAAAAACCTAAAATAAACACACTACTGTTTTTAAACCATTCATTAAAACTAAATTCAGCTTTTAGAAAGGTAGACCTGCAGCTTACCAACAATGGGGACTTAAAATGTAGCAAGACTAAATAAATAAATAAAAATATAAATAAATAAAAAGATCTAGGCCAGCGGTCTGCAACCTTTACGATCAAAAGATCCATTTCCGCCCCTTGGTTCGCTAAATTAAACATATCCAGGAAACCAGCTACAATTGTCATTATCAACTGGTGGCCCATGGGCCACTTTAAGTTTAGAGGGGGCTTTTCTGGCCAGTAGGCGTGAATTATAAAACTAAAACCATATTGATATTTTTACATTTTGAGACAAAAGACTGGATTCCATCCATCCATCCATCCATTATCTTTACCCGCTTCTTCCTTTTCAGGTCATGGGGTCACTGGTGCCCATATCCAGCAGTTACTGTGTGAGGGGTGGGGCTGGACAGGTCTCCAGTCCATCATAGATTCTTGTAAAGAAAAATATATATTTTTGCTAAAAAAAAAATTTAAACTAAAACAATGAACTGTGCAGGCATATGTGATATTTGTATTTTTTACTGTGAAGAAATTGAGTATCCTACTCTGAAGAAATAAAGCATACAGTTAAAGTGAATATAATTTACTCAGTATTAGTACTGGTATCCACATATTTACAAAGGAAATGACAGGAAAACTGCTAAAACTAGTCTTTTTTTGTTGTGGATATAACATCAATTCACTTTTATGTTAGTTTTAGTCAAAGTTTGAAAGAGTCACTACGGTGGGACCAAAGAGCCCCATGTGACTCCAGAGCCGCAGGTTGCAGACCCCTGGTCTACACTTTCTTGGAGGAATACATATCGCCCTCAATAGTGGCGTTAAATCATATGCACAAATTGCATGTTTTATAGCAAAGTCTTGGACAATCGGTTTGCACCCAGGGTGTGTGTTGGAGATTACTCTTAGCCACTGTCACGCCAAATTTTAGCTAAATATACGTAAAACTAGCTGAATTATATCCACTTTCTGTACTCGGATATGTTATGGTAAAGTCTTGATATGTCTGTAAACTTTCTCTTGTCCCACCCATAACTTCTGATCCTCTCAAGATAATGTAACAAAACTTCAGACACTTATGCATTATCACTAGGTGGAGTGTTGCATGTACTATTTATCACCCCAGCTTCAAGGTCAAGGTCACAAATCAAGGTCAGATATTATACTAGGTCTTTGCTTGTCCATGTCATTGATCTAGATCGTTGTATCGATAGGCGTGCACTGCCATTGTTACTTTTCTAAGGCCGAACCTTAGCTGTGGTGGCAGTCTTGTAAATTATAGCCGAACAGAACCTATGAGAATCGTGCTGGTGTTTTTCAGTTTATTGTTTTGCACTATTAGTGACATGCATATACTGTATCTTAGATATTTTAGATCTTTGGGCGTTCATTTAGCGTATATCTTAGTTTATATCTTAGATCCTTATTTACTGCTTCTGTTTGCACGTTATATTTTTGATATTGTTGGATGTAACTGGGACCCTGTGTACACAATTTTGTTCCACCACATGTACCACATGTGATGTGAATGACAATAAAGAACCTTGAATCCTTGAATCTTGAATTGGATTGACACAAGAAGTTCATAAATTTTAGATGTACATCCAATAATTACTTTCCAAGCGTTTCATTCAAGCCATTGGTTTATTAAGATAAGATATTCTGCTAATATCAGACAAATGAACACACACAGAAAAATACATTATCGCCCACCTGTTGGCGGCAGCCAGCAAAGAGCTCTTAAAGTGTTGGTTACGTGCACCCAATAAAACGCAGCTTGGTGGTTTTGCAGCAGAAGGGAGAGCTGCCGAGCTTGAACGTGTTTGAGAACAAAAATAAATCCTTCAATGGACAGAAAAAATTGATCATGTAAATGTGCAAGTGTTAAATAAATCAATTCTTATGAAAAGAAAAGTGAAAATTATCAGACCAGAAGCATGTGTTAGCTGTCAGACACTTGTGTGGTTTTCTGTTTGCTTTCAAGCAGTTTTGTAAAAACGTTGCTGACACATATGTTGCCAAGATGGCCGCGCTCAGAGCAGCTGCAGCTTCGCAGGCTCCCGGTACTACCCCAGTTTTTAGAAGTTTTGATATTGACTCTGAGCCTGACTCTGCACGATTTATGCGTGTGAACTATAGCCGAACCAAACTGATGAGAATAGGAGCGGATTTGCCACGAAATATAGCAGAAATCAGCAACGTTTTTTTTCTGGGACCCTGTGTACATAATTTCGCTCCACCACATGTACCACATGAGGTGCGAATGACAATAAAGAAACTCTGACATATCAGATCTTATATCTAGAAGTGATATTTTACTGCTGCAGTCTTACCAGAGAAAAACAAAACGTAATGCCAAAAAATCAGCCAGAGAGCTGCTACATGAGACAGTGCAACAAAGTAAAGCTGCTTCAGACAGTAGAGGAAAAGACGACAGGTTACAAAAGAAATGAAGCGAACAACAGTCTGTTAAATCATAAAAGACGCCTAAAGTATTTAATAATTGTCTCTTTCAAACTCTCCATGCTCATGTATCAGTGGTCTGGCAGGATGATACCAACGAAAAAAGAAAGTTGAAAAGGTTGCTTTTTAAAATGTTGGTTGTCAAAGCACTTTGTGATTTTTATCTTGAGAAGTGCTATATAAATAAAGTTTTACTTACCTACTTACTTGCATATATCTACTGTTTTGCTCAGTGCATCCAGTTTGGAGTAAATATCTGCGTACAGGATCTACTGGTCTGAAATAAGGTCTGTAAGTGCATCATCTGTACAAAGTGTCAGGAATCAGCTCAGAAAGGGAACAGAAACTGTCTGATTTGTGTCCCAAAGACAGCATTGTCCCAGCCTGCGCTAATATACTATTTACACAACAGCTGAACTTAATCGCAAAAACAGAAATGGTGCTAACGCCAACGCTAGCGTCTGAGCAGAACTGCGTGCTTTGTATTTTGACACATGGATTAAAACATGTCAACAAAAATATGTTAGAATGCAGATTTTTATCTGAATTTCCTCATCTGTCTCAATAAACATTAAAATAATTCCAAACATAAATTTCTGATGTTGCTAATGGTTGGTATGGTTTAAAGAGATAGTTTGAAATAACTCCAAACTTTGAAAATGTATAGTCTTTCATGCAGAAACTGTTTTACAAACCTATTCATTGCAACATTTTTGCATTGCATGGTTATAACTAAAATTATACGTCCAAATAGCAACAGCAGCAGTTAGTTGTAGCACTTCCTGTATATCTTGGTGCACTTCTGACAACAATATTATACCGTTTGTTAGAATAACTGTGAAAACTAGAATAAATGTGAAAATGATGACCATTTATTTTAAACAATTTTAATGGACTGCTATAAAAATTTGTAGCGTTAAAATTTTTAATTTGTTTTAAGACGGCAGTAATTCACTTTGATCTTAGTCAAACTAGGACTAGTCATCCAAGTTCAAGTCAATTTTATTGTCATTCTCATCACATGTGGTACATGAGGTGGAACGAAATTATGTACTCAGGGTCCCAGTTACACCCAACAATATCAAAAATATAAAGTGTAAAAAGAAACAGGATATAAGATATACACAAAGATATATGCTAAAGGAATGCCAAACAGCACGCCAAAAGATCTAAGATATATGCTAAAGGAATGCCAAACAGCACGCCAAAAGATCTAAGATATATGCTAAACCAGGGGTCTGCAACCTTTACGATCAAAAGAGCCATTTTTCACCTTCGTTCACTACATTCAACGTGTCCGAAGCTGCACCACCTTGCTTCAACTGGTGGCCCATGGGCCACTTTAGGTTTGCTGGAGGCAGTTTTTGTGGCCAGTAAGGGTGACATTTTAAAGAAAAAAAATCTAATGATTTTAACATTTATTAAAGTAAAAGACCAGATTCTCGTAAAGGGGGACATTTTTCAGTTTTTACCATCTGTTTTTAATTAATAAATCTATAATATATGTAGTCAGTTTTTTCATATAAAAAATAAAGCATGAAGATAAAGTTTTACTCCTTGTACTTGCTCCAGTGTTCACTTATTTGCCAAAGAAATGACAGGAAAACAGCTAAAGCTAGTACTTTTTTGTTGTTTGTATAACAACCAATAAAATTCAGTTTTATGACAGTTTTGGTCAAAGCTCGAAAGAGCCGCTGCGGTGGGAAAACGAGCCGCATGTGGCTCCAGAGCCGCAGGTTGCAGACCCCTGTGCTAAACACTAATAATGTAAAACAACAAGACGTAACAGCAGCCCGAACATGAGTTTGTGATGAGCGGATGGGTACGAATAAATACAGCAGCATGAGATAATCAGCAGCACAGATAACTCATATATCACCAGTTAAAGTGGCATTACAGTGGGTTTTTTTTACAGTGTTTATCTGGTTGATCCTTTCAGAAATAAGTGCTTTTTTCTCCAACCTGTGGTTGATGCAACAAATACGATGTTCAGAATCTTTCCAAAGAACACCACTCCTTTAAGAACTGATTTAATAAAAACAACTCTATTTTTTGGAGCATCCAAACTGATTTACTGTAAGAGTCGTACTAAACCAGAATAGTTGTTTGGTATAAGTAATGCTTTAAACTAAATTCCTCAGCTGTTATTTTTGGAGGAAATATCCGTGTTTTTGCAGTGAGTTAAGTGTAGTTTTCAGAAAAGTATAAAATAACACTAGCTTGATCTTGAACTCTCCTGTGGATCCAGAGCGGCTCCAACGAGAAGCGTGAGGTTCGCCACTTCCAGTTCACAGCCTGGCCGGACCATGGTGTGCCTGAACATCCAACCCCATTCCTGGCCTTCCTTCGTCGGGTCAAGTCCTGCAATCCTCCAGATGCAGGACCCATGATCGTTCACTGCAGGTGCGTCTCTTTTTGGTTGTCATTTGATGCTAGGTTCTTATCGACAACTGAACAAAAGTTACTCAACAGAAATCCAGCAAACCCAAAAGAAACAAATCTGATCCAAATCTTAGAAATACTTGTGGGTAATTTGGGGTTTTAATATGTGAAAATCAGTGAGAGTCCAAGAACACTTGCTTTAAACTATTCAGAGGTTCTGGACAAAAATAAAAATTACCTGCCATTATGTAAACCCCCAAACCACCATCGTTGGCTTAGACAGCAGAGTCCTTTCTTAACAACATCCATCATCTCAAACTTTACCCATGATGAGCTTTAGCAGTTGACAGTTTACAATTTAGGTTCCTGGAGCATCTGAGTTCATAAGTTTATGTTAAAATGAGTCGCTGCTTATGCAGCAGAAGGTTTGTGCGTTGGATCGAGGAAGAATCTGGAAACTTGTTATTACCGTCTTGGCAGAGTGTTGAGCTCTGAAACTGGAAAGAAGAAGCTGCTATTTTACTTTTAGCAGCCACGAAGAGAATAAAGGAAGAAGATGGAGCTGAGTGGAGGCAATGTGGAGCAAAAGCTCTCAGGAGGAAGAATTAGTGGGTATAAATGTGCATTAAAATGGGGGGAGGTGGGGTAAGAAAAGAGGGATTGAGACGATGATTGAGAAAAAGTGTTACCAGGGGAGTGGAAGTCAGAGGAGGCGATTTGGTGAGGAGGTGAGGTCAAAGTGAGGACGCAATGAATGAAAATGATGAATTAAAGAAAAGATGAAGTGGAGAGAAAATCAGGTCGAACAAAAAATGTACATATGTGAGGGTGAAAGAGTGGCAACGCTAGCTGTGTGAGTTCTGGACGGGTGCTTAAAGAGAAGATAAAGAGGCAAGGAGATGAGGGCAAGGAGGATGGCAGGAGAGGAGCTCTTCCTAATCTTCTGTCACAGTCAGATGGAGTAGCCGATGGGATTATCAGTCAAATTTAATTATCTCGGCAAAACTCCATCGTAATGTGCCTTAAAAACCAGCCTCTGTGTCAAACAATGGGCTGAATCTCATTCCACCAGCACATTCGCACAGGGTGATATTAATTTAACCATGTTAAAGAGCTTTTGATTCACTTGCAGAAACTTGCTTGGTCAGGTCGACCCATCGTTTAGGTACCAGCACAGCAGAAATGTGAAGTGTTTTGGTGGGCAGCTAAACGTATTATATATCTGGATTATATGTCGATAGGGGTGATATCATCCTATGCGAGCGAGACGGTGATGCTGACTCATGGCTGATTTTAATTTTCACGTCCTTTGTTGGAAATATTGCTGGCTGGCATCTTTGCTATGCTTTCTTGTAAGTTAGAGCCAGATTTGCACCAGTAGAAAAGACGTAGCACACACTCAGAGAAAATTACTCCCAATTTACGTGGAAAAATCACATCGCTGTCTGTTTCTCTGCTTTATTGATTTTTTCCCTGTTGTTTATTGACCTTACAGTGCTGGAGTGGGTCGGACCGGTTGCTTCATTGTGATTGACGCAATGACGGAGCGTATCAAGCATGAGAAGACCATCGACATCTACGGCCATGTGACGCTGATGCGCTCCCAGAGGAACTACATGGTCCAGACGGAGGACCAGTACATCTTCATTCACGACGCGCTGCTGGAAGCAGTGACCTGCGGGAACACCGAGGTGCCTGCCAGGAACCTGTACTCCTACATCCAGAGGCTGACGCAGATTGAGCCAGGAGAAAATGTCACGGGCATGGAGCTGGAGTTCAAGGTGAGGATTGATCACTGCATCCTCCAAAGGTTCTAACTGATTAATGATGATTAAAAAAATGGTTGATGTGTTGGAACCCCTCACTATTTTGATTATTTGTGATGGTCAGATGTATGAAACTGTTTCTAAAGTTTGTATTGTAAACTGCATTTTGGTCAATGATTGCAGGACTATGAGTATTAACAACAACAAGGGGGTACAGAAGGGGGAGGGAGGGAGGGAGGGAGGGAAAGGCAGATGAAGGGATGGATGGATGGATGGATGGATGGATGGATGGATGGATGGA